AGCAGAAGAACGGCACAAGCAAGGTACAAGAGTTGTGTACTCTGTCTTGAGAATATTAAGCTATTTTCTTTGGCTGGAGTGCTAAGCTTATGGCCTGGGGTGGGCTGTGAGTGGCAGGTGAACTAAGTGGACACCAGTTTGTGAGAGTCTAAGCTTTACATCTGAAATAACCCTGCTCACAGCTCTTCCCTTGCTCCACTGCAGTGGGCTCAGACGTGAGGGACCACCATTTAGGAATTAATTGCATTAATCAATATAAAAGGCATCCAATGTCATATTCTAAGTCAGCAGAAAAGGTAGGATATAGACCAGCCCAAGGCTTTATCCATTGCTCATAATAATGAAATCCTTTGACTAGTAAAATAATATTTTTAACCCACTCCTAGGCTGTGGAGATGGACGTATCCTGATCATCTGTTCTTCATGCTCTTAAAAGCTTCTTTCCTCTTAACAGTTCCTAACAATTAAGGGTAATTCAAACTCATTGCATATTTATTTAGCCTTACTATATATCATGTACATGAATTCATTTGATGCTTACAACTACCCAGGGAAGCCTGTGACATTATTCCCAAGTTGTAGATTAAAAAATGGGGTTCTGGAGAGGTCAAATAATGCCCCCAGTGGGGAAACCCAAGATTTTTCCACTTTACTACTGGAGTACATTTTTCCCTGTATCATTTAGTTTTTGTTGCATGATAAAAAACCCCAAATTTTAGTGGATTAAAATGATGACAATTTATTTGATAATTCTCCAGGTTGGCAATTTGGGCTTGGCTCAGGTGGGTGGTTTTTCTGCGGATGCTTTCTGGGCTTGCCCTATGCATCTGTGGTCAGCTGCTGGTCGGCTGGTAAGTTCTGTTTCTGGAGGCTAGCTGGCTTATGGCTGGGGTGATGAGGGGTATACCTGGACCATGTGTCTCTCAGCACCCAATAGACTAATTCAGGCTCTTTCATGCTATGGTTGTTTTCAGATTCCAAGTCCAGCAAGTTAAGACAAGCTTCAGGGTGTAAGCACCTTGTAAGCTCTGTTTGCAACGCAGTGGCTCATATCCCTCTGGTCAAGTTATGTGGCTAAGCTCAGAATCAGTGGTAAGATACCACCCAAGGGCGTGGATGCAGGGAGGGAATAATTTGGGGCAAAATTTTCAATCTATCATATAGTGTTTTCAAAAACCATTTTTATTATAAAAATGCATATGTGTATAATATGTATTATATATAACAAATATATAATATATTAATAAATATATAAATATATTACATATAATAAATCTATAATATTTAATAAATCTATATTTAATAAATATATAATATATAATAATATATATAATGTTAGTTTGGAAAATTGGGGAAATACAGAAAAATCTAAAGAAGGAAAAAAAATCATCCATAATGTACCTTTCAGAGATAATCACTGCCAGTAATTTAGTGTGTTTGCTCCTGTCTTATGAACATATGAGTGAGCTATGAGCTATGACTGTTTACATATATGTTTGTATATTTTCCTTTAGGAGAGTTGTAACAAAGCTTTTCTTTAAACTGACACTATATTATGAATATTTCCCCATGTCATCATATAATTCTTTCAATACTCTATTGTAGCTCCCTGCCCTGTTTTATCTAACCTTACCCTGCCTTTAATTTATTTATTTTTGCTCTTTGGGTTGCTCCCATTCTTTTTGTTTGTTTGTTTGTTTTTGATGTTGGTTATTATAAATAACATTGAAAATTCTGGACTATAAATCTTTACCCATATTTTTGATGATTTTCCCAAGACAGATTCCCAGAAGGGAATTACTAGATCAAAGATGACAACGTTCATAGGGCTTTTGATACAGTTTGTTAAATTGCTTTCCTAGAATTTACATAGCACTTTCCACAGGGAAAGGGCCTGCATTATGGCCCTCTGAAGAGCACTCAGAATTATCTTAAAAAGAGAAAAAAGATCAATTAGGTGAAAAATGGTACCTTATTTTAATTTGTATTCCTAATTACCATTACGGATAAATGTTTTAGACATGCTGACTGACCATTTAGAGTTCTTCTGTGAATGTCCTTTTCCTTAAAAAAAAAATGTACATTTTAACTCAATTAGTAAGAATCACCCTGTATTAATGTGATTGACACAGTATCATTGAAGTTACAAACATGTTCCCCTTTAGGTTGTCTTTTGCCTTTTAATTTTGTTTGGGGAATTTTTTTTTTTGATGTGTAGGGACTTACAATTTTTCATTGTTCAATCTATTTTTCTTTCTTTTTTTACATCAGCCTTTGCTTTTATGTTTACAGTGTCATTTCTGATCCATCTCTTACAAAATGTAAGATGGAGTGGCTTTGTCACTTAGCAGTACCGTGTTCAGAAAGTCTGTCTGTCTTTGGAACTGGACCTGACAGGTGGAGCTGATCTGTGTGCTGATTTTCCCTCCAGCTGAGCCCCTGTGAACTGCCCCCAGGGTCCCCATTTAACTGACACAAGGATGATCAGCAAAAGCCCAGTAAGCCCATCAGGAAAACTGCACCGCACTTAAGCCCACTGCTTTGCTTCTTTCCCTTGGCCCCAACCCCCAACCCCCCACCCCCCTGACCAGGAAGCAGGGTCTTTTATACATAATCCTAGTGGGACTCATCACTGGGGACTCCGAGGGCTTGTGCTGCATAGGAGTTTGTCTTCCCCATGTGTGAATTGTCATCCCAGGGGCTGTGAGGCTGATGTGTGACATATGAGTTGTTTAGTGGGTTGATGAGTGGGGCCATCCTGTTCAGCTCCTGTAATTTACTGGAGCTTCACAGTGCTACTTGTGAGGTAATGTAGTGTTTCTTGATGAACAACACTATATTCAGTTTGTCCCCGAAAGAGACCAAGCCAAGATCACACACTCAGGATGGAAGGAAATGCAGTTGGTGTTGTGGGTTCTCTTTTGTGTTGATGGAAACCTGAGGTGGAGTTTCTTAGTGAAGCTAAGTGGTCATAGTGGAAAAAGATGGGGGGATTCAGAGGCATTGGAACGGGGTTCACGTTCCTTCTCTGCCACCTACTGCGTGGCTCTGACAAACCAGCCTTCCCGAGCCTCTACGTCCTGTCATCAGTGGAAACCACAGTCATTCTGTGCCTTCCTCAGAAAACAGTTCTGACTTGGGAATGACATAATGTAGATAATGTATCGAATCAGATAATAAGAGAATGGCCGGCACATGATAGGTTCTCAGTAAATGGCAATATTTTTATTCAGGAAAAGAAAGACAATCTAAGTAAGAAAATGATGGTTTAGAGATTTGGGCAATTTGTGAAAACTCCAAGAGTAGTTGTCAGGGATCTCTTACTGAGCTTTTCCAGGAGCATGAGGTGATAGGTCAGTGGTAATGCAGAAACACCCGGTAAGCACCGCGCACTGTCACTAAGCGTCGACTCTGCTGTTAAAACACACCGTGCTATGTGATGGAGCGGGATGCAAAACCCACTGAACTAATAAGACGAAACCACAGGCATGAGAGAAACTGCACATCAGTGGGAGGTGTCTGTGGTCTCAAATGCGAAGAGGGGTGAGCTCCGTCTTCCCAGACAGTAGGGCTACTTGAGTGGAAGTGCTTGGAAAGCTCTGGGTAATGTTGAGAAGCTTCCCAGAGGGGAGGGGAGCCTGCTGGGCTGCCATGCTGATGGTTCTCCTGGAAGACTTCCCCTCCCACCCCCGCAGCCGCCCCCTGCCATCACCTGGCATGTGCAGTATCTTTACAGACTCTTTGTGGGGGTCACTGGAGCGGTCCATCGACTGTCTCTTGTTCTTCTGGGCACTGCATAGGATCACTCTTCCATGGACTCTGGAAATTAGGTGTGGCCATGTGGCTTGTCGTGGATGATACAGCGTGGGCAGAGGTGATGTGTGTTGTGTCTGAGCAGAAGCCTCAAGGGCCAGCATTCACTTTGCCATTTTGCTTTGACCAGTCTCAGCCACCCTGGAAACAGGGATGGAGCTGCTGTCGGCCTGGGTCCCTGAATGAGGATGATGTACAGTGGACTTCCCAGTCGGTTATGGTGACAAGTCGCATAAGCCTTTGTTGTTTGAAGTCTCTGGGCATTTGGGATTGTTTTTTCCTGTTATTGAAGCAGAACCGAGCTTATTCTGATGATCTACCACTTGAGGGCAGATCCTGAAAAGTAGATGGCATCATTTTGCCCATGTAGCCTTCACAGGGCTGTACTCACAGCCCACACACAGATTTGCTTTATTTCAGACACTTATTGAGAGCAGTTCACACGTCTGGCCACGAAGATTCAGGTGTGAGAGTGGCTGAGCTGTAACATTCATATGGACACATGCCCTCGTGGCACAATGGTCCCCAGCTCAGAGAGGGAAAGGCAAGGACAAAGCTTTGTTCAGTATCTACAGAGGTGAGGACTCGACTAGGTGCTTTCTCTATATTCTTTCTAATGATCCTGGCAACCTATGAAGTCCTTATTATTCCCTTTTATAGATGAGAAGATGGTATCTCAAAGAAGTAACCTAGTCAAAGCCACCAAGCTAGTAAGGGTCCAAGTTGAGATGCAAACTCAGACTGAGAACGTGAACTGTAGAGACAGAATGGGTCTCATTCCCATGCATCACTTACATTTCTCCAAAGTGCTGAATCTCCTCCCATTAGATCCAGGAAGCATTTTCTCACAACTCAGTCTAAAAAGGATCTTGTCTCCCACCTCTGCATCGCCAGTAGTAAGTGTTTTCCTTCATAGCTCTTGTTTAATATCTGTCTCTCCCCTTATGCTAAAATTCTAACATGGAAAGGACCACACTGTCTCGTTAGCTCTTGGGTGCCCAGGACCTGCTCACTGCTGGCATGCAGGAGGCATTTAGTAAATGGTTGCTTTGTCCATAAATAAACGCCTCTGTGTTGTTGGAGGAACTCTCAAAGCAGAGTGGTTTGGAGACTAAAAAAGCACAGCCTCGAGCCACACACTCGGATTTGAATTTCAACTTTGCTACTTTGTAGCTGGGTGACCTTGGGAAAGTTACTGAACATCTTGGTGCCTCATTTGCTCATCTGTTGAATGAGGATAATATTAGTCACTTTCCTCATTATTGTCATGAAGACTGAACGATGTGTCAACAACCTGTAAGGCACTTAGGGCAGTGCCTGGCGTGCCGGAAGTTCTCAGTAAGTACTAGCCATTTGAATGTGTGGGTGTGAGGGACAGTGCCCTGTAATGTTGTTAGAGCCCATGAGAAAAAGGATTATGTTACAGTCTAGGGGAGACTACAGTGTCTGACATAGTTTGATATAGTAGAAGAATCATGAAATTTGCATTATGACGGGCCTGGAATCCTACCTCAGTTCTATGACTTCCTACCAGGGGTGATAGGCTGAGTTTGTGTCCTCCCTCTCCACCTCTGAATTTATATGGTGAAATTTAATCCCCAGGGTGATGGTATTGGGAGGTGGGGGTCTTAGGAGGTGATTAGGTTATGAGGGTGGAGTCCTCATGAATGGGATCAGTGCCCTACCTCCAGAAAACCCCCTCTTCCTTTCTATGTGAGGACACAGCAAAAAGACTATTGTCTAAGCATCAGGAAGAGAATTCTTGTCAGACTTTGAATCTGCTGGCATCTGGATCTTGGACTTCCAGTCTCCAGGAATGTGAGAAATAAATTTTTGTGGATGATAAGGTATTTTTGTTATAGCAGCCTGAACAGGTGAAGACAGCAGGTGATTTGGGCAAGCACATTATCTGCTCTGAGTTTGTTTTCCCCATCTGCATTAGCAAGCATGTGGATCAACATTGCTGGAAGAGAGTGGAGATATGATCAAACCAGGGATGACACAGTGGCATGCATCGGGATGCGGATGAGATGAGATCTGGTCTGTGAAAGCCTCCTGCACGGTGCAGGCGGAGTGCCTGTGAGTATCTATAAATGATGTCTGAATAAATGTGTGAGTGAAGGCAGATTTTGCTCAAGAAATGTAGAGAAGAGGTAGACATTGCCCATTCAGTTTAGGACTTAACAAGCTCATACTGGAGTGAGGGTGGGAGAGATTATGCATGTGACAAGGATTTCTTGGTGATTGGGTGAAGTTCTGGCACCGAGAATCACATTTTGATGATTTTGCCAGGCACGCGGGGTTCATTTTGCCTCCTTTATGGGGCGTGCTTGTGCATGAATGGCTCCTCGCTAACATGCTATAACACGGACCAGTCACAAGATCAAGTCCTCCACTTACTATTTCTATGTAGGAACAAAGAAATCCAAACCATTGCTCCTAAAAGATTCCCCAAATGGCTGCAGTATTTTGGCTTACTGAACATGACTGAATTAATTCATTATTCTCCTAGAATAGGAATTGAATCTATTGACCTATGGCTCTGTCATGCTTGTTTTGGAGTTGTGCCAATTGGTTACATTCATTCTGGGAGGAAATAGTTGTGAGCCAGTCTTTTGCGCCTCACCTGCGCAGTTAAACCTTGGGTGGTCTTTCTCTCCAGTTGAATAGATTAATCTGTTCTTTGCATACAAGGAGTCATGAGCTGAAACATTACATCAAACTGCTAGTCTGCACCCGACGCCATGAAATATCAGCTTTATTAGTTCCATTCTTCAAGACATTGTGAAATAATGAAAAGCATATTGTGTAACCAAGATATGGCAGATTCCAGTGCATACATTTCCAAACGACCTTCTTGGTTTTCTAAGTGTAAGTTAGTAACAATGGAGTTAACGAAACTATTATTCACTCAAAACAACATTGCTATTATTCACTTAATACAAAGCCCACAAGATGCCTCTAGTATATAAAGTACATTATGGGTAATTATGCAATTGCTAAACTTCTCTGAAGCATTGGTTTGGAAATTCAGGAAATGGAAGCGTCAGCAAATATAGATTTTAACTAAGCTCGATAGTGATCACAGTGAAACTCCTTTGGTAGTTAAGAGGGGGAAAACTATTATTTGGAAAACAAGAGAGAAAAAACTTAAAACATTAATAAAGTTGTCAAATTATCTGCCAGCTACTCTCTCATTATAATCTGCTCCCACTTTAGAGACACTGTGGGGAATTACGGAGCAGAATCTTGTGAGCAAATGTGACACTCCTCAAGAAGATGAAGAAAGTGTTTTGAAGTGGTCTGGACTAGAGAGTACATTCCCTCTCCTGGTCAAGGTCATCCTAGTGCCACAATAAACAAGGCAGAAGGTTATTAAAAACAACTCAAGTGTCTCCAGAATTTTGCCTAATCAGAACTTTATCTCCGGTGCCATCCTTAATCAGGAGGCATCTTCTATTAGCTGCCAGGTAAGATGAATGCAAATACTTAATTTGGGAGGAGGTTGAGGAGGAAAATGGGGGGAATATTACTAGATTAATTAAAAAAATCCCTTCTATTATTTTACTTTTTATTTCATTTTTTCATAAAATGTTGGAATATCACAATTAGAAGAAACTTTATAAGTCATTGAATCCAGCCTAACATTGGATTTCCTCTAGAGCATTCCTGACTCACTGGTCTTCTAACCTTGACTTGAAGTTCAATGCTGGGGAGCTCAGTAGTCTTTATGGAAATATTCCTTCCTAGTTCAGCTCTCTTTGGCTGTCAATTTGTTCCTTTCTTATGTTAAAATTTAGCTAAAATTCATTTCCTTGTAACATCCCTTTGGTCCTAATTCTTTTTCCCGGTCCCCCACCCATTCTCTAGTGGTCTCACACCATGTCTAATTCTTCTATGGGATAGCTGTGTCTGACGTCTTCCATTTGTCCCTCCAGACATTGCCTTCACCTTCTCCACTCTGCTGTCTGCCCTGGGGGGCTAACTTGGAACTTCATCCATGGGGTCCTGTATGCTCTGACTTCTGGTTTGATTTGGCCACAACGGTGTCTTAGCAGGAAATTGACAGGTGAGAGAAGAATAAGTTTCATTGTCTGTATTCCCTAGGCTCCTACTTGTGAGGTCACCTTTGACTGGCTTTGTCCTTCCCGTCCGACTGATGGTCACCATTTCTTTCAGGGACATCTTCTCTCTACATGACTTTCTTCAGGTTTCAATGATGACTTCCTCTCAACATCCTCTGTGTCTAGGCAAGCTAGCTCTTCTGATACCAACCTTATCCTTTTGGTTTCTCCACATCTGTACCATTGCAAATAGTTCCCCTGTAAACAGATCTTCCTCTGATTAACCTAATTTGATACAGCCATCTGTTTCCAGTTGGGATTCTGGCTGGTACAATAGACCTTAAGATAACTCTGAAACAATGCTAGGTACTGGCTATGTCCTCCCTTTTCCAGGAGAGCCACCCAACATGCCTCAATTGTCCCTAATATTACTTGGATATAAAGATTCTCACCATCCTCTGAAATGTTCCCGTTGGGCAATATTCCTTATGAAATGTGGGACCCAGAACTGCAAGCTGTGGTCCTGAGGTGGTCAAGACAGAACACAGCGGGGCGCTCTTTCATTGCCTCTGGAGACCATGTTTGTCATGAACACCGCTGAATGCATGTCTGCCGAGGTCCTTTGGACACTACGTCATGTGGTGGCAGCGTCCTGAGCTTGTGATCATGGTTGTATGATGTGAGGCTGGCTGTCAGCCAGACCTTGGTTTGAATCCTGGCTCCATCACTTACTAGATGTAGGGTCAACCCTGAGTCCATAAAGGTGGACTAAAATGCCGATTCCTGCCTCCCAGCTTAGTTCTGAGAGCTAAGGGAGCTAGTGTGTATGGAACTGGTCTATAAACCACCAAGGGCTATGCAGATATTATTATTATTATTATTATCCTGCTCCTCTTTTTCCTTCTGTCCCTCCCCCTTCCTTACTTCCCCCTCCATTCATCTTCAGCAGCAGTAGGGGTATCATCTGTTTCCTTTGACAAGAATGTCTCTCAGACATTCTTCACCTCCAGATCCACCCACATCCTGGGCATTCCACACAGACCAGCACATGACTGCAGCCTTTCCAGCACTTTCTCAGATCAAGCCAGGGAGAACCACTCTCCTCATTTCTGCTAGAACATTTGTTTTTCTCCTGGAACATTTTGCTATTCTTAACTCTTAGAAAGCTAGAGGTAGAAGGAATCTTAGCATGATCTGATTCTACTTTTTTGTTTTGTTTTAATAGATGAGCAAGTTTAGAGGGGAAGCAACTTGTGCAAACGTATGGGGTAAATTAGGGATGCTGAAGAACCAAAACCCAGGGCTCAGGCCTCCCAGCCCAGAGCTGCCCCAGGACACCCCTGCACCTCTGAGGGCTGCCTGCTCTGCCCTATGGTGGATTGTATGTCCCTTCCTTATTCACCTGTGAATTCTTCAGAGTTCTCACCTGTAGTACACTTTTCTAGAGCTTGGCACAGGCTATTCATAGTGCAGATGATAGCTGAGGAGAGGAGAATAAAACTGAAAGATTGGGGTTGTTTTGAGTTGAATGATCACTGAAGACTTATTCGTCTTCTGTCTCCTTTCTCCTCTTGAGGATATACTGAGACACTTTTTAAAAATATCTAAGGCCACGATGAGATGATAACTTTCCCCATTAATTTTAAGTGAACATTTTAGAGATTCCTGTGTATAACTGGTGAGTTTTGCTGAATAGGGGTTTTGGAACACTGTCTTAAATTAAAAGGACTCGGGAGTACATGAAAGTGGAAAATTCAGTTGCTTGTAAGTGACTTCCTTGGCTTATTGCAGTGAGAAAAGTTAGCTGACAAGAGTGAATCTTCAAAGAATTAATTTACAAAACTACATGTTTAACATTGCAGCCTCAGCTGAAAGAGCCAGAGAGTCAGAGAAATTGCTGAGTGTGGGGAAAGTTACGGATGGCCTTCGCACCTTGCAAGGAAGGCAAGCCAAGTCAGCATCCCCAGAGAGGGGAATGTGGCATTGCGGGGATGAATCTTTCAAATGAGCTACACTCTGCAAGGTAGCATCTTGCCTCCTGAGGTTCTGTGGGTAGGACTTTCAGATGGCACGCTACTGTGTCCTGGAGCCACCTTTTGGAGTCGCAGTGAGCTTAGAAGCCTGTCAGCTTCTTATCATGCCATCAAGTTCTTTATGTTCTCAAGGAGTACAGTAGCGTGGAAGTAATGCTTGTTGTGGTAGCTCTGCGCAGGAGAACACATTTTTTAAAAAATCCATGGGAGCAGGGACTGCTCCAACCACTGCTCCTCTCCTTCCTAATGCAGTATGTTCTGCGCTCAGGTGCAAGATTGGCATGGCGGCATGCAGGAGGAATGAGGGAGAGAACGGGGCATTCTGAAGATGGCACTAGGCTTGGAATCAGACAACAATGGGCTTGAGTCTGAGTTCTGCCATTTACTTGCTTGATGACCTTTTGTAAATAATTTGGCTCAGTTTTATCATCCATGAAATGATGACAAAAATCCTTACCTCGGCAGCCGTTGTGTTTAATGGCAATCAATATTTGTAATTATAGTTTATACTAGTCCCCCGCATA